CAGGCTCTCGGCTGTTGACTCAACTTTGCGCCTGGATCGCCGATGCAAGGCACGCATGATTCGTACTCGTGGTTGGCGGACGAGATGGTGTAGCATATATGAGATCTGTGATGAGACCGCAGTATTCAGACTTGCACATGATTTTCACACTGTGCCTCAGGCACAAGAATGAAGCAGAAGCAGCCCAAATGAATTGGAATTGGGACTCGGGGTAGGGTCTATGCACGTGCAACGCGCAGGAGCAGGCAGTGCGCTCGATCTTCAAGTCGCTCCGCCATTCATATGTGCTTCAACCAGACACTCTGCTCCGTCCGTATGCGCCCCGTAAAACATCCTTCATTGTTCAGCCAGCTCAGAGCGCCGCCGTTGAGCAAAGCAGGGAGCTCGTGCGGCGAAGGCCAAGGTAATAATGCGCTCGCGTTGATGACTGAGTAGGTGTATGGCCCTGATCGCACAGCAATGTAATCGTGTGATTCAGGTGATCACACAGGCACAGTGGCGGTATGGTTTCACTTTGCCTGGCGATGTCTGCGCGTCGGCTCTCTATGGTCTGCCCCTTGTCTTTGTGCCTGCAAGCTCTCATGGTAAGTTCAAGCCAGGACGATCGTTACCAAGGTTGCCGTCCTCATCAATCGCCTATTCACCAACGAAACTCAAAGAGCGCCAATTCTACCCTTGGGGCTAGGCACTGCCCTCTTGCCCCTGCATCAGGTAGGGCATCTGGTGAGCACTTTGTGATAGCTAGCATGCGACCGGCCGTTAGGCAGTCTGGTATCAAGTACGAATGTACCTCGAAGCACTGCTGTCTCCGTGCTTCCCTTAAATATCAGCATTCTGTGTAAAGGCTTGCGCATCCTGCCTTCTCCGCTCCGCAAACAACATCATCCCTTTCAGCCCACCAGTCCTTCCACCATGATCGTCTCACCCTTCAAGCGACTGTCCGACTCTGTCCTGGCTGCTCTCGTGGCATTTCTACTCGCATCCCTTGTCTCGGCCTCCGGTATCTTCCAAAGTTGTCAGCTCAATGGCCTAAAGGACATCAAAAAATGTCCTCCGGGCACCGTTTTTGCCAAAGACAGCGCCGAGCTACAATCGGCCATTGACGGCAAAGCTCCTGTGGTCATGCTAGCCTATGATGCGGCCAAGCCCGAAGCTTTCTATGGTCGCCAAATTCAGGTCAAGCGCTCCGTTCGCATCATCAGCACGTTTGTATTCAACAACGACACAAAGGAAGCGAAAGAGAATTTCGATATATCTAGGAGCTTACTCGCTGCTGAGGCCAAGGGTGCCGCGAACGCCAAGTCCGCCGTACTCTCCATCGTTGGAGATGGGATTGAAGTCCTCGTCGACGATGTCATCATCGTCAATCAGGCTGATCAACTTGGGCAGAAAACTGCGCAACCAAGTCCAGCGGTCTACGTTGGTCCTGGCGCCTCGGTCCACTTCACTAACCCCCAAATACTCGGTATCCACAGCGCAATGGTCTGCGACGGACGCTGCGTACTTGGCACTGGCGCCGTGATAGGCTGGACCAACCTTCTTGCCGGTAAGTGTCGTAACAGTAGCATAGACAAGCATTCGATTCCAATGCAGTCCATCTAATCTTCAATACGCCCTACTCGCAGGGAGCGGTCTGATCCTAGCGCACATGACCGAGTTCAGAGCACTTGCCAATGGTGCCATCCTCGCCGCTCCTCAGGGTCATCTGGCAGGCGCAGTATCGTTGATCTCACCCTACTTTACGATGCAATTGGACGACAACGTCAAACCCGTAGTTGGCAGTTCATACCTCGCAGCTCCCGGAGACGAGCTCGCTGTTGTCACGATCGACGGTGGCACATTCATGGCCCCCATTTGGAGCTCCAAATTGTGGCTAGCCAAGGGTGCTGGCTCCTTTGAACCAATAAAGACAGTGTTCACGGCTCAAGGTCTCGAAGGTGAATACTTCAACGCCAAAGAGGTTGACGCGAAGCTCGATTCCACCAGTCGCATCAGCAAGGACTACCTTCACGCTGCGACCACTCGAGACTCGTTCTTCAAAGAGGACGATTGGACTCCCAGACTGGAGCCCGGTGCGCCTGATGCTGACTGGGACAGCCCGACTTTCAAGTGGCATTACAAGGGTCTCAGTATTGCCGAGAACGGCGACCCTGATGATCCTGCTGGCGGACCCTCTCCTGCCGCTGGCGGTGGCAGCAAAGAGGAGGAGAAGAAGAAGTCCAACGACTCTGGCAGTGTTTCTCCTGCGGGTAGCGATGGCAGCTCTGCAAATTCCGGCAACAAAGAGGCGAAGAACAAAAAGTCCAACGACTCTGGTGGTGCTTCTCCTGCGGGTAGCGGCGGCAGCTTAGTAGGCTCCGGCAGCAAAGAGGAAGAGAAAAAAAAGATGCAAAAGCAAAAACGAAGTCGAATGCCAGACTTGCTTTGACTTTGCCGACTTTTCTCGTAGACAGACTCCTTACCGTTGCGCTCTCGTAGTCCTCTGAAGGCGTAGCGAGTCAAATACGCATCTGCCATGAGCATCCTGCACCTGTCTCCTCTCCCCAAAGTTGCTCACTTTCCGCGCATTCGAATACCGTTCGCAAGCGCTGTGAGTGCAACGAGCGACCTCGCTGCCACAATCAGGTCAATTCGATTTACCGCGACTGTTCCGGTCTCAAGTAATAAGAATGCTTTCTGTCTCGTTGGCGTTGGAGCTTTGAGGCCACCCGGTGCTGTAACACCCGTGTCTGCTGAACACTTGCGTCTGGTAGGAAGCACTTGCCTGTCCGTCACTTTAGTACTCTTTGCACACTGAAGCGTGTCGATGGTAGGATAGAGGCCTACCATGGTTGCGACGGGTAAGGGGGAATAAAGGTTTGATCCTGGAGAGGGAGCCTGAAAAACGGCTACCACATCCAAGGAAGGCAGCAGGTGCGCAAATTACCCAATCCCAACACGGGGAGGTAGTGACACAATACATAACAACCTGGAGCTTTTTAAAGGTTCCAAAATTGGAATGTATACAACTTAAATCCCTTAATGAGGAGCAGTTGAAGGGCAAGTCTGGTGCCAGCAGCTGCGGTAATCCCAGCTCCAATAGCATATATGAGAGTTGCCCACAATGATGGCCGCCTCCTTGTAGCGTGGGTGGAAGTCCCCTGACTTGTCAGATGGTATCTAAAAGCCAACCGGCAGTAATTGTCCAAGTTAGATAATCAGTGGCAGCCAGGCTCACCCAAAATGGTTTTGGCAGCTTGTCACCGCCTTGGCTATGGGAAACCCGTAAAGAGCTCTCTTGTTGGTAATAACATCTGTTGTGCTTGATCCATGCGGGGCTGCACGCCTCAGCGTCTTGGCGTACGTTTATGTTACACCAGTGAATAGGACATCTGCATTAGCGCAAAGGTACATACATGTCAGGACTATCTCTGCTGCCGTGCTGTAGAGAATTGAACTTGACATAACAGACATCAGCGGTCAGCAGAATGGCAGAGCGTCCTCTCCTAACGCGGGGGCGCAGGGCCACTCCACCAAAGGTGCCACTGCTGTTACTAGTAGTGCAGTCTCTGAAGTCTCTCCATCTAATTCAGATTCGCTAATTTTCGTGAAGGATGGTACCTCAACTCCTGCCAAGAGTATCGGCTTGACACCTTAGATTAAGGAGCCAACCGCGTCCCCAGTGTTGGTCTCAAGCGCCTCAGCAACATCATCATCTTCTTTGGAAAGCAGTTCTGATAGTGATAGCAATAATTCTTTGAGCAATTTCAACGCAATGGTAGATCTTGAAGAGGGTCT